TTTGTTGGCTTCATCTGGCCCAGAGATTCAAGCTGGCGTATGCAAGCATTGCGTCTAGGGTCTAGGTCCTAGGTAGTCTAGGTAGGCTTGAGCTGACGCTCAGGCTTTGCGGTTCCAGTTTAGGGTGGTGCCATGTTTCAATGCACAGGTGCCATGGCAAAATGCTGGGTTCCTGGAGCTAATACTTTCTTTTCGTGGAACAAAGCAGGGAGGCTTGGACATCCGCATTATGATGCTGTAGAGACCTGGGCTGCTTCGCAGTGAAAAACTGATGTTGCAATCTGTGTTTTACCCTTTCTCGACATAGCTCACGCAACTTGCGGCTGTCAAGCCCGGAAGCCACCTCATCCAGAGTTCTATGGATGCATTGCAAAGCAGACGTAAAGGACAGATGTCAAACAATTGTCCCTTGAACTCGGCATACAGTCCTTTGAAATACACGCTTGCGCCCCCCTATGCCAAAACTGTGCGCGTGATGGCAGGTAGTAGAAGTTTTGGGTAGCTCGTACTTTAAATCAACCGATTCTGCAGAACATTAGATCACTATTCCAAACTTACGCATGCATTGTGGCTCACTTGCGCCCCTCTGCTTCAGAAAGCCTCAAATATGGATTCGGTAAGCCCCAACACTTTCCTGCAGCACAATCCCTAACATCCCACCAACTTCGATTCATAAGCTTTCTTGGAACTTGCTTCACTGCTTGCGCGCCAAAAGAGAGACGATACAAATTCATATTCAAAAAGCTTGACCCACGAGAAGTTTCATAATAAGTGATTTGGTAGGAAACCCTGTCTCAGAGCTTCGGGTGTATGTAGGCTGGCTACTTTCCCTTCGCTTTTACCATGGGGTCTGGTGCTTCCGCGCATGCTTCAACGCCAACGCTGCCTTGGCCAGAAGATGCAAAAGTTGTGCTACGCCCAGGTGGAACGACAGGTTTGGGGTTTGGATGTTTTGCCTGAACTCGCTTAGGGTAGGGATTCGAGTTGAGGGTGCGGGGATTGCTCAGCATTTAGGTCATTTCGTTACATCAAATGTTTGACTGCCTTTCGAGGGGCTTAGGGCCCTCTACAAAGCAAGGATGAGGAGCGCGTGTTCCTCGCAACCTACACTTGAAACTTGTCAGGCCTCCGTGGAAGGACATGAGCATACGCCCCAGACGTATCAGACCTTGCAAGCACAGCGACAAAGTTGTGGGATAGAGACTTCAGTGTATCATCCCCAAACGTTGCAAACCTCTTTGAGGGCAGGGATCCTTATGCAAGGGTTTGTTTGCTGAATCAAGATGCAACTAATCGGAGACAACGCTGGGCACTCTTGCGTCGTGCAGTCTTTGACATCCCAAACTCTTGACGGATAACCTCATGACGCCCCAAACCCCGGAGGAATCATAGCGTGATGCTCAAAACTTTGAAGGGTCACACCGTGACGCCCAAAAAACCGTGATGCTCAAAACTTTGCAGGGGTCACACTGCCACGCCTAAAACTGTTGATGGACCACAGTCAAACTTTGGAGGAATCACGTGACGTCCAACATTTTGCAAGACCACACGTGACGCCCAAAACTTTTGATTGATCACACTGTGACGCCCGAGACTGTTGAGGGATCGCACCTTGGGGCCCAAAACTCTGGATAGATCACACCGGCGATACGCAAAATTGTTGAGGGATCACACAGTGATGCCGAAAGCGCTCGATGCATCACACCGTGACGCCCAACAGTCTTGAGCGAGAGCAAACACACGTTCCGCGAACTGTTGCACCACCTCCTATCCCCTGGGTTCACCCGCTCCAAAAGGGAACTGCGCAAAGATTATGGTTGAAAGATGGTCCTCGCCACGACCCTAATGTTAATAATAATTCTAAGCATAATACGACTACTAGTAAAAGTAGTAATAATTCTAATGTATCAGTCTTCTAGGGCAAGGCCCATGGCCCTTGGAAGCTCCTCCAACCCTCATGGCGGCCCCCTGGCAGATGGCACGCTGCCGGATGGCCTGAAGACAAGTGGCCCTGTACCATCCGCCGACAACAAGGTGCCCTTCTGGAGGTGCGTTGGGCTTTGGCTGGCATTGGTGCTTGTCATAAGTCATGCTCTATGTGAGAAAGACACCCCTAACTGACCCTACTTTGAGGCAATTCCCCCATTCCAATGCTGGGGGTTACCACTGCATTCTCAAGCTTCATCAGTGCAGAACCTGTGTCACATGGTGATGACCTTGATGCAGTAAACTCCAGACTCCAAACTTTAAATCCAGGGGAGCAATTAAGTTTTCAGGTTCGAGGGGCTCGAATGAGTCTCCAAGCTGGATCGAAAAGTCCGCTACCCTAAACCCTTACAAAAGAAACTAAATCAAAAAAAGGAAGCCCCAGAAACCCTAACCCAAGAAAACCTGGAACCTAGGCCTTAGACTCCCCTAAACCCTAAAACCCAAATCCCTGAAACCCTGAAGCCCTAAAACCCTCAAACCCTGAAGGCTGGGTGGCCCGAGTAAGGCTCGCCTCCGGGTTGTCGAAGACACCGCGGGGTTGCTGGAGCTCAAGGCTTGGGGCTTAAGGTTTAGGGGATTTGGGGCTTACGCTCAGCTCTTTCCGGAGCAGCGTTCCAGAAGAAGAGCTTTATGGTTTAGGGCTTAAGCTTTAGGGTTTAGGATTTAGGGTGTAGGCTTGGGTTTCCTAAAGCAGTAGAAGTATACACCCCAACAACGAAGAATCAGATGGAACAAGTTAAATACAAACTGGGCCATATAGGTAGGGATGCTTCGCCAGGTTTGAGTGGCCTTCTGCGACTACGGCCTGGGGGATAGGAGTTTGGGAGTTTAGTGTTTTAGACCGATTCCCAGCGAGCCTAGCTCGCTATCCCTAACAGCGCAGAGCGCGGGAGAACGTAGTCGTAGTCATCGCCCGACTGGTGGTTGGTAGAGAAGAAGACAATGTAGTATAAAAGGGTTGTGTAGGGATAGTATTCTCTTATTCTTTACTAACCAGCAGTAACTTGAAACTGGGATGCTAGAAGTTGGCAGCGTGAAGTTTGTCACGAGACTCTTCGTTTGGAGCCGGTCATTGACCATGACCGCTGCACTCAGATTGAAGCACTTTCTTCTCCGCATCCACTTGGCTGAGCACTTGGTCGCCTGCAAACAACCCGTTGTTTTCGTTTGGTTGCTCTGCAAGTGCTACTTGTGTGATTCGTGCCCACCTGCGCCCATTTGACCATCTACACCCATGTGCGAGCACTTGACTACTTGCGCCCAGTTGTGTAACTAGGGGAGGGAGGGTAGGCTGGAAGATATGCGTTTGTGGTCCGACCCTTGCTGTTCCCAGCGCTGTGCAGGATTGGTTTGCACGTTGCTGACCCGAAGCGGATTTCTGGTCAGCTAGAGTCTATGGAAAATTCCTGCCCCCTTCAAGAACCTTGAACGGCTAGTCAGCCAGCCCACAGGAAAAATTCACGGTCGCCGTTTGCTTTCGACCTGGCACCGGTGATGTGAAGGGGTGGGACAGTCTGCTACTGGGCGATGTGCGGGCCCCAAGATCCTGGCAGTTCACAGCAAATGGGGACGGTAACAAATGGAAATAGACGTGACAGAAGCCAGTAGAATAAGGCTATGAATCAAAGAACAGCGCCGGCATCGTTTTCCAGCAACATAGGTCTGTAATCAGCTGTCGACACAAGGCTTCAGCGATGGCTTCTTTGCAGACAGACACTGCATCTTTGAAGTTGAACTGCATCCTGTTCTCGGTACTTGGATAGTTCATGTGTAGATTGAAAATAGGGCATGTATAGTAGTTCCCTTGTTTAATGCTTGTCTACGTCAAGCAAGACCGTACTTCTATTCATGAACATCCTAACCTTGAAGTGCCCGTTTTATCTCTGAAGTCATGTTGACCCCAGGCTGGATGATTGCAACAAAAAGAAGAGCATCAGAAACCCCCAATGCAAAAACGTGTGAGTCTTGGGACAAGGCATCAGATCCCTACTATCATCCTGTATTGGTTCAGAAAGGAAGAGACTGGACTCTCAAACCCTAAGCCCCAAGTAGTAGTTTCCAGCTTATTTTCCATTATCCCAATATAATCCCAATATACAAGGACCCTTTAAAACCTTCCTTGGGCTTCCAAATCCTTGGCTCCGTCCTCCTTGGGCTCCATTTCACTGGGCAGCCCCAAGGACAACAAGCATTGGTTGGCAATGCCTGGTGACGACAAGAAAAAGATCTGTTGCTTTGGAAAACTAAGTCTGGGGCTTTGTTCTCTGGTCCCTAGAATATGTCACCCCCCACCCTCCAATTATCAGCCGCACTTACGAATCTGGGTCACGTGCTAGATGCACAGCGGAAGCATGTTCGTGCCTCTGAAAGTCAACTCTCTGAGATTCTTCCACCAGCTACGCAATTACCTCCTCCCTCACACCCGACCCAAACGAGCAGTAAAGGTTTCTGCGCCAGACATGAAAATCCCGGTTTTGAATCATGTTTGAATCATGTAAGAACGTGGCACAGGCGCATCTGAAATTCGAATTTCACATGCGTTATTGGGGGGAGTAAGCGACCCCTGTGAAGTACTGATGCGAGGCTCAAGGGAGGGGGCAAGTATGGCGTGGGCGCATGGGGGGATGCTAAGGTTTCAGAAGCCCGCAAGTGTAGGTCAGATGTTGCAGGTTGTGAAGGTCATGAGAGGCTCGTTTTAAGTTAGTTCCCATGAAACTGCGGCACGAGATCGTCGTTCTGCTGACTAGGATGGCCCACTCGTCAAACAAGGGTCGACGGTCCCAAATAGATGAGTCTTTATGATCACAAGGTCGCCGGGCTGCAGAAATCCGATGAAGACTATCCCAAGCCCTTTTTGGTCCCATCACCCTAACATCAGGGGGAACCGTTTCCTGTCTTTGGCCTTCTGGCAGTTTACGTGACAAATCTTTAACTGTTGTTGCACATGTATGTACGCACCAGGGGAGGGAACCCGAAAGTCTGAATCCGACGAAGCAGAAGCCACAGACCAGGTTGTTTGGAGGGTGATAAGAGCTCCGAATTGAGTGCAGGCTTCTTGGACCAGGCAGCTCTTGAGTTTACGAAGCGCTTTTCAGAGAGGATGCTTCATGAGCGTTCTAGGTAAGAGTAATGACTACTGAGTGCTGATCTTTGCGACTTGGATTTTGAGCTTGATAAAGAGACTGGCTTCACATTCATATTGGGATACTCTCTCGTAGTAGCAGGCAGCAGTTGTAGAGTTGATATGAGGGAAATTGAGGAAATTAGCTGGCTTATCAATCAGACTTAAATGGCTCTGTCAGGCTTGAGGCTGAGAGGTTCCTAGGTAGGAGCGAAAGCAAGAACCACCAAAAGGGAGACCCAAATGTTCAATCAACCCGTGATGGGTCCTTCTTGTGAAGGTCCGAGAAAGAGGCTCGATCAGACGTCATGTGACCTTATTGCTGATTGTGAGTGGGAACGGGTCCAGAATCAACTCGACCTCTGCTACAAGATCTCGTTGTGAGCCCACCAGAGGCATCCTAACTTCTTACCAAACTGCATCACTTCCACAGAAATTCAGGGCATTTGCTGCTTGCAAAAGATTTCTCTGTCTTCTACAACACTTGTGAGCTCCTTGGGCCAAGACCTAAAAAGGCGCCCAGCAGATTTTCTTGCGTTCTGAGCCCTTCCATGCATAATCATAGGGGCCCTCGCAGACTATTGAACCGCAACAGCCTATACCCTGAAACATGTATATACCCCAAAAGGTAACGCAGGGGACCGTATTTCCTGAATATGTTTCAGGGTGTTAATAGAGAATAAGGGAATATAACCCCTGTATAATCCCTATATATATATATAATATTCCCTTTCTCCATACTGACAACCAATCAGTTCCTGAATAATTTAGCAAGGCAACCCAACAAATCCTGAGTCCTAAACCTTGTGCATGCGAGTGGTGCATGCGTTCTCCGTACTCTCCTGTTTTTTAATCGGTACCTTAGGTGTTCCTAGGAGCTGTGGGATTACCTTCAACCTTCTTGGCGTATATTACACTAATAATCCTTTCGACAGATTAACCTTTTGTGGCCAGGAAACTCAGGCAGGTAGGCTTCTGTTTCTTTGAAGTCCGAGTTTTGCAGGGCTGGGTCCAAATCTTTCTTCGCTCGGCGGGAGTTGGAACTTCCGTCTTCGGAGTGGACTGCGACTTCTGCCAGAATGAATAGTGCGGTTTCCCCAAAAAGGGGAATCTCCTTACAGACCCCCCAAATACCATAATCATAAGGACCGAAAAGGTACCCCTAGTTTGAGGACACTATCATGGGACTAAAGGATGCTGGCCTCAGGGATTTTAGGGGCTGGGAGGTTTGACGGTATGGGGGGCAGAGGAGTTTCATTGCTTTGAGGTTAATCAGGGGCCTGTTGGATGCTACCCTCCCTCCTTCAATTCCTTTCCGCTTTCATATGTTTCCGCGCTTGTTTGGATGGACTCACATGCGAGTGTATCATTCAGTGCCTTCTTTAAGCAAGGCTTGATAGAACTGGCTCTGAGTCCTCATAAAACATTCTGGGTATTTGGAAGCTGACAAGACTGATAAGGGCATGGTCATGGATTAAAGGATGAGCCCTGGATTTACCCAAGCTAGAAACTAGAATTCAAATGCCCGGTACTCGTGCTCCTGTTGCTTACCTTATGTAATGTCGTTGTGATTCTGCTTGTCGTTGATCTTGTCTTACTGGCGGAGCTTGGAAAACAACTCGCGTTCTTCTTGTGCATTTTGACATTTTGGATATTGATTTGTCATCTTGTTCGCTCCTCATGCTGCTACTACTACTACTTTTTGAGGAAGGGCTCCTTGACCTTGGGACCTTCGACACTTCCCTGGTGGGTTCGAAACTTCGCAATGCTGGATGGGCCAGCAACGAGGCGCCCGCACAGTGATACCATGGATTTGTGTAGAGGAAACTTAGTTGTAGGCTCTACGCTTAGGGATGGCTATTTCAGATTTTGATAAGATTGATCAGGGAAGAGAAGCATGAGAAGGGGGAGGTCGAGGACGTGGGAGGCTGCAAAAGGAGTCTGAAACATTGGTAGGCTTCCGGAAAGTGTGAGGTTTTCACATTCGTGTGGCGCAAGCCAGGAGCAAGTGAGGAGCCGAAAATGGATCTGCCTTTTGTTGAAATTCCTGAGTTACCAGCCTTGCCCATCATCTGGCAAAAATTTCGGAAATTCCCGAGAAGGCTTTGCATAATTTCTTCAAGGGCGCATATCATTCCCCAATTAGCAAGAACTCTCAGGTGGACATTGCTGCTGTGGCCTTTTGGGACCGTGCGCTCACCTGGGAGGAGCTTGCAACGCCCGGGCCCGAGCAGAGCTCACACGGCCTCGCCTGAGGGGAGACCTCAAGGGGCTTTATGGAAACTTGTCAAAAAGGTCTTCTTTGTTTGCGGTCCCAATCATTGGGTATCTGTAAACTCACCTTAGCTTTGACCATGCCCAAAGATTCCAAGTTAGTGTCCTGGGTTAAGAAAGGTTTTGGTGATGCATATCAGTTCAATTCAATTCGGTGTTTGTTGACGGGGGGGGTCCGGTTGGGGTGACCAGGGACTACGTTACTATCCTGGAACAAAACGATCCCTACACGCTTTCAAAGGCATCTAAAGTTTAAACAAAACCTCATGCAGGAATGTGCTTTTTTCAGGGATGCAAGGGTTATCTGCAAGGAATGCCAATAGCGTTTGGCCAGCACGCGCGGGACCCGCGTGGCAATGGTGTGTATAGCAGATGACACCTGCCTCCCAGATTAAAGAAGGTCTGCAAATAATGGAAATTATTCAGAGTCCAAGGGTCTGCTGGACTACTCCCTTTGCTGAAATGATTTTGGATTGGGTTCGTAAGGTTTTAGAACAGGGCTTTAATAAAACTGAGTAGCTGTAAGCTCCAGATTCGGTAGTCCGGTAAGCAACTGCGGGCTTTTAAGGAGCTGTAAGGCTCCATTTTCAGGCTTCTGAGCCCCTGAGCTTGAGCTTCTGAGTTTTGAGCGAAAATTTGGAGCTTTCCTGATTTTAAGAATTGCTTCTTTTTAACACAAATATAGTTGAAATCTTCCTATATTTTTAGGGCCCCAAACATGGACCCGAATGGCTCAGATGGCAACCACGGGTTCTGCGTGAGCCCCACATGGCCCAGGTTTTTGTCTGAAAACCACATGGGACCCGCGTGGACCTGCGCCAACACCATTGCAGCTCTGACGGGCCAAGGAGCAAAAAACCCAAAACATCTCTTCTGCACGCAACCTGCCCAAGCAAGCAGTAAAGACTCAACTCCACTGGCCAAGCCCTCTGAAGATGATTTAGACACTAAGGCCGCTGCCTGCTGCAGCTCCTGCCCCACCTCTACCCGACGGCCCGCCGCAGAAGCACATCTGCGGTCAGGCCCCACCAGGAGAGTGATTTGCGTGATTTAGAATCAGGATTGAAAGGAGTTTGGGGTGGGGGTAGTCAGTCAGCACAATGCTTTTCGACATCCGTTGCCTATTCCGTGTCCTTTGCTATTTTGCCTTCGCTTCAATGCGTTTTGCCGTATGAGTCGGTATGGAAAAGATTCAAAATCCTTGCCCCACATGAAAATAGCCAAGGGGTTGACGTCTTTTTGCACGATGGGCCAAGCTTTCAGATTGAGGGTAGGGTTTGGGGGCTCGTTGGCATGCCTGTTTGCAAGCATGGTGTTTGGGTTTCTCGCGGAGAGAGTGCGATTCTGAGGGACGGCGCACCTGAACTCCTTCAAAGACACCTACCGACTGTCCCAAAGATCTTTCTTGTGTCCTGCGTTCAATCCTAAAATCCAATTTTCCCCCTCACGCTCCCTGAGAAAAAGCCAAGTTGCGAAAGGTCACAGACCTCACCGGCGAACCACTCAAGGACCCATGATTGGAGGTTGAAGGTTTTGCCAGTATTGCCATGTAATTTTTGTGAGGGTGAAGCCTCACTGCAGTTGGAACTGTCACAAAATCCCGATTATGGTTCTTTATATCATCCAAAATCAGGGTTGGCCTTGTGATCAAAATTGTCAATTTGTCAATCTTTCCTCCAGTATCCTTTTTATCCGAAGATGAGTGTAATCCAGGCTTTCACTCCCTACAAAAGGACCTGGAAGAGGTTGTTGCATGCACTGCTACGGCAGGATGTTGGACCCTTTTTCTTGCGTTTCAGAATACACAGAGCTGACCCTGTGTAAAAGCTCCAAGCAGTCCAATCACGGCGTAATCCTTAGTTGGAAGTCGTCCAGAACTGCATGGTTTCGAATGGTGTTGAGTCACGAAGAGGCTGGTACTTCAGGACGTTTGGCTTTTGACCCTTGCCCCTCCAGTCTGAAACGCCCTGCTCCATATCACCAGATTTACCTGTAAAACAATGTTTGATGTGTTTCGTTTGCAACGCTCACTTTTCCTTTGTTCCTCTTTGGGCGAGTGGGGGCTGAATGTCTAATTTCGAAGAAGGGACCGCTTCGTGCTTCTCTTTGGCATCCACCGGCGTCGCATGTCCCACCCCGACATGGGTCATGGGTCGGGTCTCATGATAGGGTTCTCCCCGTAAAGGAACAACTCTGAAGTGACACCCCTGCAAGGATGTAAGCATCAAGTGGAAGACGGGTGGTTGCATGTCTGATGGTGAGGCAGGATTCATTGCAGTGAGCGGGTTTGGGGTTGTGGGCTTATGTAGGGTTTGGGATGATTTTTTAAGTGTGACGCTTCATGGTAGATTTGAACATGAGGGGCCGTTCATCATCCAGAAGTCGAGGGGGTTGGAAGCCGTTTACCATAGCCCTGGCCGATCCCACGCTTGGCACAAGTCCGGCTGACCGCATTTTTCGAGAATGAGCCTCATGTATTTCCCGTCTACAATCAGTCCCATGTTCGGGGAACTTTGCTTAACTCAGTTATAATATCGGAGAACCTTTTTGCTTGACGGATTCACCACCGTCACATCATATATTTGGATCTGTAACCTTATCTGTGGAGCAAATTGACTATCCACTCCTTCAATTCCAAAACCTGCCTACCCCAATGTTCAAGCGGGTGGGGAAAAATGTTCAGCGCTGCTACCGTATGACGGCATCCGAAAGTTGATGCTGTGGTGAGACAGAGCCTTTACAACCACTTGACTGACACTGCAAGATTTTTTGCATGTTGCAGTATATGGCTGCAAACCGAATACTTGCATGAGGGCATTAGTCACAGAGAAACCGTGACTGAGATGGCTGGTTGCGAAGGGATGACAGAAGAAGCTGATGGACCTTTGACATGACGCAGATAGTGTTTGCATGGATACCATATGAATGACGATAATAGTGGTTGGAATGGCAACAAACCTATCGTCCATTTGGTAGCTGTGAAAGTCATGGCCCCTTCTTCAGGGCCCTTACACAGCATTGTCCGAATGCTGACAACTAACCATCAAGTCCGCAGAGGATTCCCAAATAATCCCCACGAGGCCAGGCATAAGTCTCTACATGTTCGCTTCCCCCCAAACTCCACAACCCTGTAACCCTAAACCCTAGACCCATCACTTCGAAAATTGATGTGGCCATCTGTCAGGGTGCCTTTGAGGCACTGCTCGAGGATGCGGAGACGGATGTCCCAGAGGATTCCCTGAAAATGATATAGGTTTCTTCATGGTTTCGGAATTTTCCTACGGCTAAAGGTTTGATAGGTATGTGACCTCTGATATTTACGATTCTGCAGCAACGCCTGCTCCCCTTAACTTTGTTGCAGGCTACACTAGTATTGTCAATAGACCTGCGCAGAAGAAGGCTGTCCACCTACGGAATTCAAAAATGTAGAGGGTCACGTTAATGGCAGAAGTAGCACGGTGTCGTCTTGCTTTGACCAAGCCTTGTTCGTAGGCAGTAGAAGTAGTAGAATTAGCAATGCTGATATAAGTAGGGCAACAAAACGAACAGAAATAGTAATATTTGCAGCCGGACTCGTCATGATGATGCCTGTGGTCATTGTAGGACCCGTCGGTGCCACAATCACTGTGAAAAGATAATGGCACAAAATGAAATGTGAAAATGTGCTGGCAAAAAAACATGAAACTTGGACACAGAAAGTCAGCAGTTCACTTGGCGGTCAAGAACTCACTAAGTCACTAAGAGCTGAAAGGTGTCACTTGCGGATGTCCGGCTGAGGGCTGGGATAGGAGGATGGGAAGTTTCGTCAAAATTGCAGCTCTCATTGGGGGTCCTTAGTCCTGGCCAAGGAGACTAGCAGCTGGTGTGCGCATGGTAGGAAACCCATGTGGAGGCATGGTGCCTTTGAGAATGGGATCTGGCATAGTTGCTTTGGTCTGCTTGCAGTAAAGGTGATGCTTTCCTGCGTCATTCATGTATACATTAGGGCATGCAGGATTGGCCTTCCATACCATTCTTCGAAGGGAGAGTCTGCCATTTTCGGGCGTACCTGTGCAAGAGCTCCCTATCTCATATTTTGGGACATACCGTTAGGGTTCTTCATTTCCTTCGGAATCACAAGAAGTCGAGAGTAACATGAGGATGGCAGCCAAGCATCTGCTTCGTCGTCCTGGTCTTGCGTCAGCTTCGAGTGCAACTGGGCACATCGTGTGAACTGGAAAGTCGACTCCCTGGTGCTACTACTTTCGTGCAGAGTCACAAGGCTCCCCAAAAAGGATGTTCTCGTGGTTCGGGCAGGGTTGTTCTGCAGATGTGCATGGCTGGGGCCAGGGTCCACCTACAGGATCGGGGGTGAGGGTGAATAAGCAGCCCCGCCAACTGTTCTGCATCAGGGTTTCTCTGCCGACTTCAAACCAACCGCAACTAGCCAAGTACAGTTTGTCGACATAGCAACTTGACTGAGCAGAATGGGCTCGTTTTCCAAATTGATAGCAGGCGGTCCACATCAGAAGCAACTTGCAGCAGGAACATATGCAAAGAGCAAGGCCAATCTTGATACAAGGGAGTAGCACTGGTAGGATTGTGTAGTAGTGGAGAATCTCCCCCAAGAGGTAGAGCACTCAGCAACCCCAAGTGTTCTGAACCCAGCTCACTCAACAGCGTGGCGACAACACCATGTTTATAACTCTCGTGAATGCCGCTGTATCATCATGGCTAGGCCGCTTGTCCCCTGTGCTTCTAGGCTTAGACCGTTTCTTTACGACCTTTTCATTACTTCTACAGGCGCAACGAAGAACGCGCCAAGAACGTACACAAGGAGAGATGTTCAAAATGCTGAGTCACAACGACGCCACGGCCACCACCTTACCTGATCCTGATCCTCACACATGAATCCTTATTAATTATGCTCCCAATTGGTGCCCATAGCTTATGCGGACATCCCTACCAAAGTCCCATCTAAAAAGAAGCCAGCAAAAGGTGAAGGCTTCGCCCCAACCTCGGTACGCACTTCCCTGGCCTCTGTGCAGTCGATTACCGTGGCACTGCGGTCACATGGCTAGCAAGTTACTCAGTTGCTGCTGAGGACCTAAAATTACCCTGCCATACGTTAACATCAAACGGACCCATGGTAATTAAATTGGGTTCCTTCTTCTGGTATGCATAGTACTTTTATCGAAGGTCTTAGCAACCCAGATTCATTGCTTCCCTTGGCTTCGTAGAGTGTCCTCAGCAGCCTGCTTTGTATCCTGGAGCTGGAGGAGGAGACCTATGGACCCCTAATTACTCTCAACTGCTTCCCGCAACCTCTGTTTTCAGCAATCTCCGTAATAGTATTGATGCCAGAGAACTGCAGTCCAACAGTTTGCGTGCATCAGAATATTGATCAAAGGCTGGTGTTGTTGTGACCCTAGTAGCTTTGCGATTAGAAACCTTCAAGGTCAATACCTTTGTAGTAGTGCTCCCCTCCTCGTTCAAGCAAAAGCCCTGTTATTTGTGTATCTTCTTTGCATCACACAGACACACCGTGCACACGTGCAAGAAGTTGTTTGTAGCTGTAGTGCGAGCGTTCTTCCAATGAGGATCAGAAGGGGACACACTAGGAATTTCCGTTGGTGACCATTTTGCATCCCGTCTCAAGGCCACCTTTAGATCATGGACCACCACTGGTCATGAGAAAGAGTACCATCCCCAGACGGTCTCAGACCATCCTCCCCGAAGCGTGTGATCAGAACACCCGACTGCATGATTTCTGCGATGGACTGACATACATTACTTGCTCAATTCCAAATTCTTTCAGATATTATCGGCACACATAGCGTGGTAATCCCTTTCATGTTCTGGGACGTGCACAAGGGGTTAGGCAAACCAGGCAGAATTCAAAAAGAGGCTATCCTCATTTGGATCTCAGCAAAGTACACGTTATGCTTACTTCACAAAGTCCCAAAGCCCAAAAGTATTGTAGGAAGCTCTCGGCCGCTTCTACAATGGACATGCAGCTTGACTCAGTTTGCCCTTTTGGGGGGTTGATGTGCTTGAGCAATTTCAGAGCTGCGGGTGATTTGGAGGGATTCACCCCAATAATGGAGAATCAA